CGCAGGGTGTACAGCTGCCTCTTCAAATGATGCACTGCCCGCTCTACACAAGCGTGTAAGCCCGAGAAGTTTGTTCCAACATTTCAGAACTTCCTAGAAAGAAACGGAATAGTGTTTCCTTGGCCTGAGTAGTGCAACTGAAGTATTGTGCACAATAGATTTAAAACGAAATACATTGATAATCAGGTTCCTAGACTCAAAAATGAAGAATAAGCCAATTGAAAATGAACCTCAGTTGGAAAGCTTTCCCCTTTCCTCTGGCCTGCACTAAGGCCTCAAGGTGCTTTTAGAACCAGTCAGTTGAAGAGGCGAATGACGACAGTCAGTTAACACTTCTGGTCATCACTGCCTGTGACAGGAACAGTGACCATCAGTACATGATGTCACATGCAATATTAACCTGATCTGCACCATGACATAACCTGTGTTACCCCTGCAATGAGTTAATAACTGGTTTAGATTTCATTATCACTGTTAAACCATCTAATTAAAAACATCTTCCTGGAAAACAAACAAAAGTAATTACACAGGGAATTGGAAATTGATTTATAAGTGTAATTATGACTTTACCATATGCTTGGGTTCCTGTATTGAGTATATATCATGTCCAGTGTTATGCAGTGGTATCAATATTTAATTCTGTACATTATCCCTGCATGCCATTCTTCTTAATTGCATTCCTTAGAGATTAAATGACCAAGACAGGAGCAGCCATACAAATGCTAGACCATCTCTCCGCCCCTAGCAAAGGCTGGTCGACTGCTGGGGGACTAGGGAAGACACAGAGGGTCCAGGACACTTTGCACAACAGGACGCAAAATAGAATGGCAGGTAAAGCCGTGCAGGCAGCTAAGGACATCACAGCAAGAAAGAGGAAGATAATTTTTATATGACCTTGTGTATATACAATGTGATATATTTTTCATAGGTAAGAGAGGTAACATTTCAGAAAATCTGATCTCCCATTTTAGCATCACATGTAAAAGTTTATTCTTAAACATGTATATGTGATACACTCAGATCTATTCTGTTTCTTGTTAGGCTTATGGCATTATGATCATGTACTGCCATAGAAGTTTTTTCACATTAGAACCTGATTCTTCTTACTGTGAGACTTTTTCTGAAAGAAACACAAAATGGCAAAGTTTAAAAAAAGGAGGAGAAACTGCAAGAGGTGAACAGATGGAAAAAGTGAACATGCTTTGGAGGATAGCTATATTTTTTTTCTAATGATCTCTAGCAAACAGTAATCCAAAACATGAGGCCTAAACATGTATATATAGGAGATTATTATGCTTCATGTATCCACAACATGGGTTATTTTATTGGTATCAGAATTATGCTAAAGAAAATTAGGAGAACAAGAGAATCTCAAGACCATGGAATAAAGGGAAAATGAAAGAAATTCTGAGAAAATTTGAATATGAAAAAACTTCTAGAAACATAAAAGAACTTTTACAGCCATTCAAACACATTGCAAACTTTTTATCACCACAGGAAGGAACCTACAACAGTCTGGTGACTTGAATACCAAATGAAATAATATCATATTGGAGAGAATTGGCAGGCAATTCTCAAATTTTTTGGAGATCTGGAATAGTCAGAATTCAGCTTTTTGTGACAGACGGGCAACAGGTCAAATATGTTTGCATCCTCGCTTTTGGAACCAATAAATAAGAAAAACCTACTCAAATGTGATAACGGAAAAGTAATTCGAGATTTTCAGTCATGGAAGCTTGTCTGATTTGTTATCCCACCTGCCTCCTCTCTAAAAACCACTTGTTATGTAGAAATTGCTGTACTGGATCAAGATGGTCATCCCCATAGTGCAGTAACCTGCCTGGAACAATGGCCAGGATCAGTCTCTTTGCAGAAAAAGCCCTGAACTGCTTTCAAAGCAGCTGAGGAATAACCTTCCTAAAGAGAAGTTGCCCTCTGCATCTCAATAGATCACAGAATCATAGAATGGTTTGGGTTGGAAGGGATCATCTAGTTCCCCCCCCCCTGCCATGGGTAGGGACACCTTCCACTAGACCAGGTTGCTCAAAGCCCCATCCAACCCGGCCTTGAACACTTCCAGGAATGGGGTATCCACAATTTCTCTGGGCAACCTGTTCCAGGGCCTCACCACCTTCATAGTGAAGAATTTCTTCCTTTAATCTAAATCTACCCTCTTCCAGTTTAAAACCATTACCCTTTGCCCTATCACTGTGTGCCCTTGTAAAAAGTCCCTCTCCGCCTTCTTGTAGGCCCCCTTCAGGTACTGGAAGGCTGCTATAAGGTCTCCTCAGAGCCTCCTTTTCTCCAGGCTGAACAACCCCAGTTCCCTCAGCCACTCCTCATAAGACTTGAGCTCTAGACCCTTCACCAGCTTCCTTGCCCTTCTTTGGACACGCTCCAGCACCTCGATGTCCTTCTTGTAGTGAGGGGCCCAAAACTGAACACAGCATTCAAGGTGCGGCCTCACCAGTGCCGAGTACAGGGGCACTATCACCTCCCC